GACCAATACAGACTGAGCAAGACAGGCTGGACACGCCCTAGAGCCCTCCTGAAGTCCCTCCCCACCAGGGGGCAGATGCAGCGAGCAGGCGGGTTGTAAGGAGCGAGGGGTACCAGACTGTGAGAGGGTACAGGCCGGACGGAGGCCCATATCTCCCCCCACCCCACTAGTGCACAAATTTTGTGCACCGGGACTCTAGTTGTTTAATAACATGCTATTTAGCCTCCAAGTGTTTTAATTTTTTGATTGTTTTTATTGTAGTTTATTTCTAATATTATGCTGTTGTGATCTGAGAAGATGCTTGATATAAATTCAATCTTCTTGAATTTGAAGAGACTTTGCCTATGTCCCAGTATGTGGTCTATCTTTGAAAATGTCCCATTGTACACTTGAGAAGAATTTGTGTTCTGTAGCTTTAAGATGAAATGCTCTGAAGATGTTGATAAAGTCCATCTGATCTAGTGAATAGTTTAGGATTGCTATTTATTTGCTGATTTTTTTTTGTCTAGAGGATTTATCCAGTGATGTAAATGGATATTAAAGTCCCCTACTATGATTGTACTGCTGTCAATCTCTCCCTCGATATCTTCAGACATTTTTTAAAAATGTATTTGGGTGCATATATGTTTACCAGAGTTATATCCTCTTGTATCGATCCCTTTAGTATTATGCAGTGGCCTTCCTTATCTCTTATTATGGCCTTCACTTTGAGCTCTGTTTTGTCATATATAAGTATTGCTATTCCAGCTCTGTTTTAATTTCCATTTGCCTGAAAAATATTTTTCCATCTCTTTACTTTTAGTCTGTGTGAGTCCCTTGTTCTGAGGTAGGTCTCTTTTAGACACTATATACATGGGTCATATTTTCTTATCCATTCAGCCACTCTATGTCTTTTGATTGGAGAATTTAGTTCATTTATGTCTAAGGTTATTATTGATAGGTAATTGTTTGTAGCCATTTTAATTCTTTATGCCTGTGTTCCTTCTTCCCTTTCTATTTCTTCTTTTTACAACAGTCCCCTTAGCATTTCTTGCATTGCTGGCTTGGTAGTGATAAACTCCCTTAGCCCTTTTTTGTCAGCAAAGTTCCTGATTTCCCCTTCAATTTTGAATGATAGCCTTGCTATATAGAGTATTCTTGGATTCAGTTTCTTGCTTTGCATCACATTGTATACTTCATTCCATTCCCTTTTGGGCAGATGTGTTTCTGTTGAGAAATCATTTGACAATCTAATGGGAGATCCTTTGTAGGTAACTCTCCCTCTCTCTCTTGCAGCCTTTAAGGAAGTTTTCTGTCATTATTTCTTCAAATAGGTTTTCTAATCCTTGTTCCTCTTCTTGTCCTTCTGGCACCCCTATTATATGTATGTTACTTCATTTCATGTTGTCCCAAAGTTCCCTTAGGCTCTCCTCCTGCTTTCTAATTTTTTTCTCCAACTGCTGTTCAGATTGGGCATGTTTCTCTGCCCTGTCTTCTAATGCTCTAATTTGGTCCTCTGCTTCTTCTAGTCCAATGTTGAAACCTTCCATTGTTTTTTTATTGTAGCTACTAGAGGCCTGGTGCATGAAATTCGTGCATGGGTGCAGTCCCTAGGCCTGGCTGGTGATCGAAGTGTGAGCATCTAGAGTGGAAGGGCACATCCAAGCTGACCTCTGGGCCCTGGGCAGCACCTGGGCCCCCGGGACCCTGTGAACCCCCCTCCACCTGAGTCATTGGGCATCCGCCGGGCTCCCTCAGCACCTGGGAGCCAGGTGGCAGACCTTCCCCCTGACGCTGCCATTTGAAGGGTGATTGGTGGGGCAATCGGGCCCCGCTCGCACCCGCCTTGGCCTGGTGCAACTTGCTCACCTGCTCCACCATCACAATGTGGTTCTGCTTTCATTGAGGCCTATTGGGGCCAGCAGCACCTCCACTGCCGCCCGCTGCCAGTGCCATTTTGTCGATACACACCATGTTCTGCACTGCCCCCTGGTGGACAGCGCACATCATAGTTAGTGGTCGAACTTCCGGTCAAGGGTACAATTTGCATATTAGGCTTTTATTATATAGGATATCATTTTTGATTTCCTCTTGATTCTTACATAAGTTGGTGATTTTCTCATCCATCAGGTTTATGATGAATTCCTTTTCTGACATATTGCACGCCTCCGTTTCATTTAGTTTTTTCCCCTGGGTGCTTCCTCCTTTTCTTTCCTTTGGGGGTTCTTTGTCTTCCCATTTTTGCTCTCACTGAAGGGTCCAGGCACCCAGTCATGTGAGGCCTGTTGCTGAAACGAAGGCCTTGGCAGGTGGGTCATGCACCCAGAGATTCACCAGAGTGTCCAGGTACCAGAATATGTGGGGTCTCAATTTTGGGCCAGTGGGAGTGTTGTGTACCCTGAGAGTCACTGGAGAGCCTAGGCCAGGGGTGGGCAAACATTTTCACTCGAGGGCCACAATGGGTTCTTAAACTGGACCGGAGGGCCGGAACAAAAGCATGGATGGAGTGTTTGTGTGAACTAATATAAATTCAAAGTAAACATCATTACATAAAAGGGTGCGGTCTTTTTTTTTTTAAGTTTTATTCATTTCTAATGGGCCAGACCCGGCCCGTGGGCTGTAGTTTGCCCATGGCTGGCCTAGGCGCTGGTCATTCAGGGCCTGTGGCTGCAGCAGTAAGCCAGAGGCAGGGTCACACACTCCAGTACTCACATGAGCCTGTAGCTGGGGAGGGTGGAGTCCTGCTGTCCATGGGTCTGCAGCTGAGGTAGCAGGTCTTTGCCTGGAGTGGATGTAGGGCCCTGCATGGTGTTTGAGGCCAGTCTGGGTGGTGGTGAGGCTGGGCTCTGAGTCACAGCAGCTCTCCCCTTCAAGATGGCATGGTTTCTATGCTAGTGCCGGTCACCTGGGTGTGCTTGCAGTGATAGCAGGAACTCCACATCTAAGGCAGCCCAATCCTCCACCCCCTGAAAATCCTGCAAGATCTAACTGTCCCTCACTCTCACACATACACATACCACACGTGTCTACACACTCCCCTTTTGCTCCTTGCCTCACTCACACTCTCTCCCTAACTGCCATCCTGCCAGCCACCATCTTGATTCCTATTTTTTTATTTTTTAATCCTTAACCAAGGATATTTTTCCATTGACTTTTAGAGAGTGGAAGAGAGAGGGAAAGACTGAGAGACATATTGATGTGAGAGAAACATATGCCCCAACCAGAACCCAGGCCGGGAAGATCCTGAAACTGAGGTATGTGCACATGACCAGAATCAAACCCGAGTGCTTTCAGTTTGCAGGGTGATGCTCTATGCACTGAGCCAAAATGGCTAGGGCCTGATTAATAAAACCTTGAATATACTAACATTTTTTATTGTTTTATTACCTTTATTTCTGTTCATCTTTATTATTCTCAATAGATACAAAATTGTTCATAAAAAATTATCTTAGTGGTGTGAGAAAAAAATGCATTAAAATATAAGGCCGAATATGCTGTGTGTTTCCCTCAGAGTAAGTAGTAATTGTATAAGAAAAATATTCCTAGTTCTTTATACTTAACAGAATTTTCTAAATTTTCATCATGGGAATGCATTATGGTCATACAGAAGAAAAATCAATTAGAATATAAGAAACAATAACAAAAGCAAAGAGCTTCATTTAAACATTTTTATGCTTAAAACAGTCAGCTTTTTCCTTTACTAGGAATATCTTTCCTACCCAGCTCAACAACTCTAATCCCTGGCTAAACTGGAATATCTGGCTTTTCAGAAGCATTTCCCTTGATTTTGTTCCTTTATCCATCTTCTCTCCAAGTGACAAGTGATCTTTTTCTTTTCAGAACATCAATAGTTTAACTTAAATCTATCCTATATAATAAAGAGCTAATATGCAAATGGTCATCACACCCTCATGCCCTCGTGCCCTCTTGCCGGGGCCAGGGGACCTGAGGCCGGGCAGGGGGCCCTTGAGGCTGCACCCCCTGCCCAGAGGTTGGGGCAGGGGACCTGAGGCCAGGCCTGGGGACCTGAGGCTGCGCCCCCCACCCTGTGGGGCTTGATGGAGGTGGGGCCAGCTGGGTCTGGGTCTCGTGCAATTTCAAGATGCACACAGGTGGGCGGGCCTTGACTCTGGGTCCTGCAGCATGCCCCAGACTCTCTGGCTGGCCCCAGGGAGGGAGATTTTCATATACATTTTACTAATTTTTCATCTCTGATACTTCTATTATAGAGAAAGGGCAAATAGCAATATTAAAATATTTCCTCTAATTAATTCCTTTTTAATGTGCATGAATTTTGTGCACCGGGCCACTAGTATATATAAAAGCCTAAGCGATTGGCCGACTGGCCAGTATCTATGATGCACACTGACCACCAGGGGGTATACGCTCAACGCAGGAGCTGCTGAATTGCGGACACTTGGCAGTGGTGGTTCTCAGGTTCACACTGGAACCAGAAAGGAGGGAGCCTGATTTTGGGGTGTGTCACCCAAGAACTACCCTCTTGCAATCTGGGACCCTTCAGGGGATGTTGGATAGCTGGTTTTGGCCCAATCCCCACAGGCTAGGCCAAGGGACCCCATTCGTGCACAAATCTGTGCACCAGGCCTCTAGTTTTATTATAATAACATTGAGAAATTGTTGAATACTTACCATGTTCCTATTTGTCCTGGGAGGGATTAGCCTAGTGAAAAAACGGAAGTTTTTGGTTTCCATCCAGTGCAAATATTTACAGATTGGTACCTGCCCATTTTAACTTTTCCTGTCCAGTCTTGTTTTTCCTATAGGTTATTTTTAAAGTAAACTTTCTAATGAAATATAAACAGAGAAAACTATAGATTTTAACTATACAGCTTGATAAATTTTCACAAAATGAACTCACACATGTGATTAACACCGAGATCATGAAATAGAACATTACAAAAAAATATTAAAATTAAAAAGGCAAGAAATAAAATAAAATAAAAATAAAGAAATAGGGTCTTGGTGAGACAGCAGTGGAGCCTTGTTCTCCAAGTCTCCCAATGCTGCCCAAGGATGACAAGAAGAAGAAAGATGCTGGAAAGTCAGCCAAGAAAGACAAACACCTCCGTGAACAAGTCCAGGGGAAGGCCGAAAAGAAGAAGCTGTCCAAAGGCAAAGTTTGGGACAAGCTCAATAACCTAGTCTTGTTTGACAAAGCAGCTTATGATAAATTCTGTAAGGAAGTTCCCAAATATAAGCTTATAACCTCAGAGAGACTGAAGATTCGCTGCTCCTTGGCCAGGGCAGCCCTTCAGGAGCTCCTTAGTAAAGAACTTATTAAACTAGTTTCAAAGCACAGAGCTCAAGTAATTTACACCAGAAACACCAAAGGTGGGGATGCCCCAGCTGTTGGAGAAGATGCATGAACAACAGGTCTGACTGGCTGTACATTTTGAAAAATAAACCTTTATTAAGTAAAAAAAGAAAAAAAATAGAACATTACAGCCCTACAGCAGCCCCTACAGAAGCCCCCTTAAGCTCCTTCCAATCACTCTCCCCAAAAGTAACCACTATTCTGATGTCTATTACCATAGATTAGTTTTTCCTGCTTTTGAATATTATAGAAATTTCTTTTGTGTTAAGGCTATTGTGTTGCCTGTTGTAGTTCGTTATTAATAATTATGTATTACAGGATATTGTAAAAATTAAGTTACAAAATTTTTATTAAAATGTTTCTTGTATACTGTTATATTGGTCGGGCTGCAAAAATATTCATTGTGGGCTGCATGTGGCCCATGGGCCGTAAGTTTGACATGCTTGACCTAAACACACCCAGACTCCACGGTAACTGAATTATGGACAATCCCAGGACAATAAAGTGATCAACCCACCCTCTTGGCTAAGTAGGAAGCAACTTTCTGCTGGAAACCAAGATCAACAGTAACTGATATAAATGTGAGGAGTCTGGGCTGACCAGGACTCCTTTTGATATTCACAGGGTGAATATCTACATTTTATTACCTGCTGCTGACTTAATGGCCTAAAGGAAACTCCCCTAAAACCTGACAATCTTTTTTTTTTTTTTTTAAATATACCGGGGATGTGCCCGCAACCAAGGTACATGCCCTTGACCGGAATCGAACCTGGGACCTTTCAGTCCGCAGGCCGACGCTCTATCCACTGAGCCAAACCGGTCTGGCCCTGACAATCTTACTGTTTACTAAACATTACCATTGATATGTCTGTTTGCATTCCTAAAAGGCAATTGTGTATTCTAGCAAATAAAAGCAGCTGGAAATGGAGACTCACAGAGAACTTGACTGCTATGGTTGAGTTTTCCTCTGCCCCCCCCATCCCCCCCTTTGCTCTTCTCTTCTCACCTCTGAAAGCTGCTCTATCAGTGAACCCTGTCAACTCTTTTTTTAAAAGTCAGCTTAAAAATGTGCATGTCATAGTATTATGCAATAATCAAAGTGTGAGAATAATATTGTCATATCATGCCTAGTCATCTGACTATTACCAGCATATTGCATAAAATCAACTACTCATAGTCTATATATGTGTATGCATGTATGTGTGTATAATATTTTCTTTACAACCCGGAATCACACAATATATGCAGTTCTCTATTCTGTTGATGGTCTTTCCCTCATTGAATAACTCATGAGGTCTTCAGGCAACTGCCACAGCATCTCTGAAAAACCTTCCCTAACACCTCCAGTATGGGTTTTGTGTCTTTCCTCCATAACCTATGTCCCCTCTTCCATTTCTCCCTACTGTACTTTTTTAAAAAATTGATTTTCAGAGAGAGAAGAGAGAGAGGTCAATGTGTTGTTCTGCTTATTTATGCATTCATTGGTTGACTTTCCTCCAACCTATGTCCCCTCTGCCATTTCTCCCTACTGTAATTTTTTTAAAAAATTGATTTTCAGAGAGAGAAGAGAGAGAGGTCAATGTGTTGTTCTGCTTATTTATGCATTCATTGGTTGATTCTTGTATGTGTGTTGACTGGGGATGGAACCTGCAAACTTAGTGTATTGGGATGATGTGCCAACCAAATAACCTACCTGGCCAGGACCAATTTGATGTATTTTAGATTATGCTATATCATAGGTAGAAATAGCTTATGGCTACTCTTAACATAAACCTAAATACAATGTCTGAAACATAACTAAGGTCAGTTCAGAGCTACTTTTTCCTCAAGAAGATATCAGTGACTTAGGCTTCTTCTGTCTTTCTGCCTTTGACCCTTTTTTTACATGACACCCATATTCAAGATAATAAGGTGGCTGGAGATATACCAGCTACCACATCTAATACTAGACAGAAGGCTATCAATTGTTTCTTGAGAGATTTCAATATTTATAACTTGTGTGTTCATGTGTTTTATATATAAATATAGTTTAAAATTAAGTGTGTGTGTGCATAAATACATATATAATTTAACTAAAATTAAACAATTGTTTCTCAAATAACACGTATATGTGAAAAG